TGAGTGCCTTTTAAAAGGAGATAGAAAACTCCGCCATTTTGAACCCTTATTACGTGTTGCCTACATCTTGGCGCAATATTTTTAATAGGTGCGTTTTAATCATCCGCTTCTGCTTCGGAATTGTCAGTTTTCTTGTTTTAATCTGACAGGTTAAAACGACTAAACCGACAATTCCGGAAGCAGAAGCGGATGATTAAAACGCACCTGATATTTTGCTTGCTGCTGTCAGTGTCAGTGAATATTATTTTTTCCACTCCAGGGCCTCAATTTTCGACTTCACCGGAAAATTTCCCCATGGATAAATATTCCCATGCTTATATTCCAGTGGTATTATAAAATGGTATTCTCGACTAGGTTAGGAACCTTTTTCCTATGGGAATTTCGATTATTCGTATGTCGGGTATTAAGTATGTAAATATTGGAAACTGACCAATCATAATCAATATTATATTTCAATACTTTCAAGTAGTAATGTTGGGATCATTGATTATATCGTCAACTTTTGACTCTTGTTTTGCCACTTGCCATCTTGTCAGAGAAAACAATCAACCCTTCTTATTTAGAAAATAATGTGAAAATATATAATGTGCTAAACCTAGTACAAGGGGCACAATAAAGCCCAAACGAAGAGTAGCTGCTACAAGGTTAACTAAAACCTTGAATACTAGCCGAAATATTGAACGCATGTTACAAAATAAAAACTTTAATAAAGAAAATTATTATGACAAAAAATTCAAGTTATTAGAGAGAAATGTTTTGGCAAAAGAACAAATAACTTGTGCCTTGGAAAAAATAGCAGAAACAAAGGAATTTTAAGGATATTTAAGAGTGTTCAATATTTTAGCTTCAAGTTTTTTACCATCTCATTATGTTATTAACAGTTGCTATTTATTTTGCGTAATAAAACAAAATTTATTCTGAAATAGCCTATTCCTAATAATGAAACAAAATTTATTCTGGGATTGCTTATTCTAGAAAACTTGCGTTGATCATATTTGAGAAATTGTCTATCATTTAAGGATTCAAAGGGATCCCCTGCCTCATTTTTCCACTTAGACCAAAAATCTCTTGGGACATTAATTGCTCTTCTTCTGCCTCTTCTATATTGTTTAATTGAGAAAGTAAAATAGCTTCATCCATTTTAGGAAAGTTATATTAGTAATAATAATATATAAATATTATTATTTGAAGTAACTAGCAAATGTCACCGGTGACAGATTCCCATTGGAAATTTGATTTCCCATGCCAAATACCAGGTGTATTTGCTCCCATACTTTTCGTGAGAAAATATTCCTAGTGGATGTGTCGAGAATACAAAATATAAATTCCCATAGGAAAATTATCTTTTTCCCATGGGAAAAAAGTCGAGAATTGAGGCCCTGGGATACAAATTCAGGATACGCAGAAGACTGCTGTTTTATTAAGGCGGTTGTCATATATTGTATTATCCGAGTTGCACAGTGTATAAACTGAAACATTGAGATCCAAAGTGCCGACGCAGAGTGAGCGATCTGATTCTTTAGCTGTAAACTGTGTCACAGGGTTCAAAATGGCCGCGCCCGATGTTGGGTGTGTCGGACCTCTCTTGCCTCGTATAGTAATCAAAGTATGTGGTGTCGCCTCAGAGTAAAGGCATTTCTTTATATGCTTACCACGACATACTTCGTAACAGCGTTTTGGTTACTCTGATGACGTCAGACATACCGTGGTAACTCGTAGCACTTGTCGTTGTCACATGTCAAATTGACGATTTTACTTTGTTTTTGTTCAGATAAATAAAAGTGTTTTTGTCACAGACGTCATTTGATTTTCGTTCTTTTGTTATTTATTTAAATGTCTCCTCCAACAATAGGAAGAAAAAAATTAATAAGTGTTATTTGTGATGAAATAACAATGATAAATACTTGTGCCAGTAGTCCCATATTTTCATCTTTATATTTCAATATAAATAACAATATCCAATGGCCATCAACATCGCTCTCGTGAAGAGTTATTTCAGTGCCCTGTATTTCAAATATAATTTCTTTCATAGTAAATAGAGTTTTCTTTGGTAAATACAAAAATGCCCAACCCAAATATACAAAATGAACCATATAACCCGTAACCACAGAAAAATGTATCTAATTTAATATCTTTACAATACTTTGCGCATGCTCGATATGTTTAAATGTGGACCTTACTGACCTTACCACACACCTTACCCCTAAAAACATCATGGTTAGTAGTAGTTACGTATTTTGGTAACGTATGACGTCATGGAAGTAACCAAACCGTTTAAAGAATTGCTTTGGTTACATAAGTATGTTCTAGTAAGTTATGGTAAGCTTATAAAGAAATGCCTTAAATGCCTCGTTAGATGTAGCTACATATGCTTTGGTAACATGTAACCAAAGCAGAGTAACCAAACGTTATAAAGAAATGCTCTGGTTACAGAAGTATGTTCTGGTAAGCTTATAAAGAAATGCCTTTAATAAAAGTTCCTCTTTGACCGTTCGGAGATGGTGGAGTGGAGTGTGGATCGGGCATGCGCATAAGGTGATTTAAATTGATAATAAGTTAATTGTGAGTGATTCTTTAGTAAATAAATTTTTTTTTGGTTCCCGTGAATATCATTAATATGGAAGAAACTTATACGGTCGTTACTGACAAGTACGATTAAATTTTAAGTACTGGTATGTCACATTGACAATTGACATTGCACTCCGAGAGAAAGGAGTAAAATCATATTCGCACTCCGTTTACGCCTAATTACTACACTCCACTCTGGAGTGCGCAGCCCGAACTCACCTAAAGTATGTGGTGTCGCCGTGTCGCCTCAGAGTAAGTAACGGACCTCTCTCTTGCCTCGTATAGTAATCACTTGCCGCGTTTGAGAATCCACATCGGATGCATTTTTTACATCTCGAGCGTTTTTTTATCCACATCGGACACATCTGTCCCATTACATTTACGTATACTGAATCACGTGATCAAAGATTTTTTACATCTCAGGTCTCAGATGCATCCGATGTGGATTCTCAAACGCAGCAAAAGTATGTGGTGTCGCAGTAAAGAGAGGACAGTAAACAATGTTTGTGTCGCCATGATAATATGGTCGAAAATTCTAATTAGAGAGAAATAGATTAATATCTCTATCTCTTTGTTTGTATTGGTCAGTTTTACAAAGCTTTTCTCAGACAATTATTCCAGTGTTTAATTTAAATTTCTTCGTGTTGTGGTGTTAAAAGTAATTGTTATTAATATTATATTCATAACAAAAAAGTCATATTTTGTTTTCACTTCATTAAAAATGCACCTAACCTACCTTCTAAAACATTTTATTTTATATTCTACTTGGTCAACATTTTCGCATTTAAAATGACCCAGCGAAATTGTTTTACGGTACGCTACTGCTGAGAATTCTAAAACGAGTGAGAAAGCCTTCATTAGAAAGAGAGATACTGATTATATGATAGCGAGATTAATATTATATAACTTTATGTAGTGGTGGCCTATCTGCTATTATATTATCTAAGGGTGTCGCATAACTCATGAACCGATACACAGAAAAACACCAAATTTTAAACTTAAGCTTTGTTCCAGCGTCCAATGAGCTTTGGGGAGGTACTTTATAGGTGGTCATTTTTATATTTTATGGAATATATCTGTTATTTACGTTTGGGGAAGAAAATTCTTTAAATAAAAGTTACTTCTTATATTATTATCTATAATTTTTGTTCTATACAAAATTTTCCTAAAATGGTCCGTATTCGAGAAATTTGACAAAATGTAAAAAAATATTTTTTTATAAAAATTGCTCAAACAAAAGTTGTTTGTAATATAATTCTCTATAATTTTTGTCCTATACATAATTTCTCTAAAATGGACCGTATTCGAGATATTTGAGAAAATGTGTAAATTTCAAAATTTGAAGAAAACTCAAAAACGGATAAAAAAAAACAATAATTTTAAACTTAAGTTTTATTTCGGCCTGACGTGAAATGATTAGATTTTGGACAAAGTCGGAACATCTGGGGGGGTACTTTATGGAAGGCCGCTTTTATATTTTATGGAATATATCTGTTATTAATGTTTGGAGAAAAAATTTGTTCAAATAAAAGTTACTTCTAATATTATTATCTATAATTTTTGTTTTATGTAAAAATTTCCTGAAATGGTCCGTATTCGAGAAATTTGACAAAATGTGCAAAATTCTGATTTTTATGAAAATTTTTGAAATAAAAGTTGTTTGCGATATCGATCTCTATAATTTTTGTTTATACATGATTTTTCTAAAATGGGCCGTAATTTTTTAGTATTTTCGTTTTCAATGAATATCTATATAAAAATGTTTCAAGGTAGATGTATGTGGAAAATGTATATATTTAGTTTATCCTCTAAACATTTATAGAGGTACTGCAATAGGTTGTACAAAATAACCGGAAAAAGCCTGTAATAACTGGATAGGAAAGTCATGTGTTGGACACATCATATTTTTATCTGTGGGTATATTATTGTGGTTCCTTTTTTTCATCGATCCCTCTATCTATCTAAATAAATATAGTATTAGTTTCACATGTTCGCAATAATTTTAACTAATTTCTTGATTTGTGTAGCCAAAATATACCTGTCTTTACTCAGAAAAAAAAATCAGTGTGTTGCAATTTCTTTTGCCATAAAATTTATGCTTTTAGAAGCTGAAGATCCATTATCCAGCAGCAAAATTATGCCGAGAATTACACCTATTCAGCAGCTTGTAGAAAAATTATAAATAACTTTGATAGCACACGATTTTTATGGCCTTTGTTGCTAGATTAATTGAAATAATAATGTTTTTGTTAAATATTCATTTAAGGTTCTCTTCATTTAAAAAATGATTATCTTGCAAGGGATTATACATACATAAATGTATATATGTTTTAAAAATAAAACACTAGTACCTAATTTAAATTTATTTATTCCTTAGATCTGAAATCTCTTAAGGAACAAATTCATCATTCAAATATATTTATAATGTGTAAAAAGAGAAAAACATTATATACAATAATAATTAAACAAAACACTACAAATATATTAAAAAAATACGCATTTTATTATTAAAATCATCTTGATTTTGAAAATTATAGTTTTTACATTATCAATAAGTATAATAGGAAATATTAAGCGTTTTATTAACATAATAAGCATGATCACAATTTATTGAGTAAAAATTATGATTTTGTTGTTAATACTTGGAATGGCAATTAAATCTCCTCATTTAAATCATAATCTTCTTCTGGGAAATCACCAACTGTTACATTATGAGGTTTGACAAAGGCCCCGTACTTGTCGGGACATTCAAAATATTGTTTATCTTTTAATCTGAAATATCAAAGAATAATTCTGAATTTATTTGCCAAATTTCTTGCAAAAAGGCAGCACATTTAATAAATCCATTTATAGTAAGTTTCAATATGTATAGAAGATAAATGGGATATTATAAAGATGAAACCAGACATATAGTGTAAAGAAAAATATGAAGATTTTCTAATATAACATTATATTTATAAGCACAACACTGGGAATACTTCAAAATGTTTTATGTCTCAAGAATATTGAGAGCTTTAAATTTGTGCAACGATATTGTAGCACCTATACTGGCACAAGCATGTTTTTTCAAAATTTAAAAACACCATTACATTAATACTAAATACTTACGTTCCATTATTTTTTCCAAGTGGTTCATCATATTTGACACCTATCCAATATCCAGGTAGCCCTTCTACTATTCCTGTATACATTACTGTTCCTAATCTATCAGGAGCAGATTGAACTGAAACTTTACACCTAGCACCGACAGTCATTTCATCAGCCAATTTCTTTTCTTCTGCTTCTGTAGCTTCTTTTTTCTTTGCGTCACTATTACCACCATATTTTCCTGAAAAATTAAATTGTATTTTAACTAGTAAATAAATATAACCCTCCAAGTACTACCTAACTTATTCTTCATCAAAAAAGACCTCACTGTATCACCCTTTTTGTCATATTCATCGTTTGATAGCTCGAATTTTGGAACGTTTCCAAAATCTAATTCATTCCTCATTACAAAACTGTCTACTACGTGGAGTCTCACGCCGTCTTCCAAAGGAAATGACCCCAGAAGAGCGGAATTATCATCCAACGAGCATATTAATTTGTTGTCTTTGGAGAATGCTTGAAGCTGCATGGTGTTACAACTTCCACCAGTAATTAGTTCAAGTTTCACCTAAAAATAACAATAATGAAATTGTTCTTTAGTTTTTAAACGTGGGAATAAATAATTTTAAGTACAAAACATACCTTTAGATCTGATATTGTTAAATCCTTAGGAAACCTCTTTTCGTTAAATGATATGTCATCTTTGGAGGTAGAAATTTGAACATTTACAAAATCTGACGTTACTACTTTAAAATCTGCCATAATTTACAAGTTTATTTTAATTGTATTTCAAAAAGTTTGATTTTTGATTTATTTTGACATAATTGACAGTTCGTGACTCACGTTGATTTGACATTTGACAGATAAGCTAATTTCTGCAATGATATATAATGCATTTTCCTTTGGGGTTTGGTTCCGGTTCTAGTTAACCAAATTAGAACCAACCATATTCCTTTCATAAACAATGACGTCACTTATAACCATTTGGTTAACATTTTTGAACCAGCTTCGCGAGTCGGTTCTAATTTGCGGTATGTTCTATCCTTATTTAAATAGTATTCTTCTCATTGTCTAACTTTTTAAATTTAGTTTTCCCGCTGAACCTAAATAGTACCGTACGAGGTCAACTAAGAAAATAGATCTTACTAGAGGCTTTTCTTATAAATATGAATAAGGAAAAAAGAACTTAGACAATAATGTTAATAAAATTAAAATATGTAGTGATCGACAAAACTTCCTAGAAATGTTTAGTATTCGAGATGAAATCTTCAAGGGCGTGTGTGTGTTTATTTTAACACCATTAAGATTAATAGTCTTGGACTGAAATGAGATTCAAAAAATGTGCCACTATTTTTCAAAAGAAGATTATCATTCTGTTTATCGCTAGAAAAAGGTCTGCATCGTTCGTTAAATGCTTTGTCGGTAGTGTCGGTTTTATTTCTATTTTATTTTAAAGAGTTTTAAATTAGTTAGTATTATTTTTGTCTGTTAATTGCCCTGTCGGTAGTGTCTATTTTATTTATATTTTATTTTTATATTAAAGACTTAAGTTAGTTAATATTTTTTCTTCTATATCATATAGCTTTAGTGTTTACTTTGGCAAATAACTAACTACACAAAAAAATTAAAAGAAAATAAAATTGAGAACTAACTTTAAAAATGAGTCACACGTGGTATTTAAATTTACACCAAAATGACATATGACTGACCGAACCAATAACCCAATTCATTCCATTGGCTTTTGTTATGACGTCATCCATATGAACCAAAATCTGAACCGCTGTCAAAAATACTGTCAATTTAACGTCAACCATAACCAGAACCATACGTCAAAGGAAAACGACTATAGTTATATAGATTGCTCATCCATGTGTAGATAAGCGGTTTCACTAGGCGAAGTTCTATCTTTAGCTAATACAAGCAATGCTTATATTATATCTCAATTTAGAGTAATAATATGAAGACTAGAGAGAGTACAAGTAACATGAGTGACAAAAAACATCAAAGTAAGATTTACGTCGTTCCAGATTGTAAAACAGGATAAAAATTTAATGTAAAACTAAAGAAAACACAAGAAGTCACAGTCTTTTTAAAGCTTCTAATGTAAGTAAAATAATGTATTCTTGTCTAAATATATTATTTATTGTAAACTAATCACAATGTGTACCCGAACTGTAGTTTATTTTATTACAAGTTTCTATAATATAAAATAAATATAATAAATAAATAATATAATATAAGTCATAGATGCTGACTTACAAACTACAATAATTGTGCATTAAATTTAACTTACCAGAAAAAAAATTGATTTTTTATAGAGTTTTAATGTAAGATAAATAGTTACTACTGATATTTTTTGTTGAACTCCAATTGTGTCATTGTAAATGTTTCTTATAGGGTACTGGGGTCTATTTTGTAACAATTCCTTTATATTTAACGGCATTTAAAAATATTGGCGGCCTTTAAAAATATTTTCGTATTCGTTAATTTACTTCTGTCATTATTTAAACAGATTTCTTTAAGATAGTCCTCTAATGTATTTTAAAGATTCGTTTAAATAATGACAGAAGTAAAGAAGAAAATATTTTTAAAGGCCGTTAAATATAAAGGAATTGTTACAGAATAGACCCCACTAAACGATTAGAACAGTGGCAGCATATATATCGTTCCTAGTGCCAATAAAGCACTTTTTAGAGATGATGCCGTTCTACACTTTTTAGAAGATATCAAATATTATGAGACTATTTTTACTGATGGTACTGTTAGCAAAATAAAAAGAGGAAAGCTAAAATTAAAGGATGAGGTAATACCATGTACATTCCCAAATTTTCTTTTATAATTGTATTACAACAATAAGAAATCTGTTAGCTGTGTGTTAGTTTGCTCTTAAAACCATATAGGTTCAATTCAACAAAAATTGTACTTATCAAATTTCAGCATTTAACAAACCTTTTCGAATTTGGTCACTTAATTTATATTTTATATAGATAAAATTAAATAATTAATTAATTAAAACATGCAAGACTTATTTAGAAATAAATACAACGGTATGTTCTGTACTTTATTTAGCTATAAACAAGTTTATTTTTATTATTTTGACAAAATTATGTATAATTCCCATAAGAAGCCATGTATTTTGAACACCGTAAGCAGTACCAGCGCCCATGCGGTTAATTATAAAAGCTCAATTGGTGTGCGTTTTTTGGGACCGTAGTCGATTCGCCTCCTTATATGTAGTCTTCGTAGTATACTTATATGTGGATTTGCAGCAACATATGCTTCTTCAACGTCGTTGAATTGCTCTTTTAGGTTGAACTTCTTTTAAATGATTTACCAGATTTTTATATGTTTCTCTTGAATGCCGAATTCGCTGAGGATATCTCAATGCAATCGGAGCATTCTCAAATAATTCTTGACATAAAAAAATATGTTTTCAAAATACCTAACATATCGTGTATAGTAATAAAAAAATAAGGTATAATTCTTTTTTAAAATATTCAAATGTTGAATTTTTATTTTAAAACGCATTTGGGCCAGAACGGTTCTGTTCATGTACATTTACAAATGCGTGAGCAATAAGCATTCTATATAAGAATATATCATTGAAATTTTGGCGACCAGTTATTTGAATTCTGTTTTAAACAATTAATTTTAAATGGTTAATAAAACTACATTTCACATAATCTACTTTATTACACATATATACAGCGCTATTTTTTTATTGAAATTGGTAAATGTAAAAATAGAAAAGTTTCCGAAACGTACTTTGAAAAAAGGACTTGATAAAGGTTCAAAAGATAGAAGAAGAAACTAACCTCAAATTAACGTCAAAAATGGCAAAAACACAAGGTGTCGAAGTAACAGAATCAAAAAAACCAAATAAAAGCAAAAAGAAAGTAAAAGTATACGCTAAAAACAAAAAGAAAAATGATCCAGAATCTGTAGTAATAGAAAAACTAATTGCCAGTTATGAACAGGTAAGAATAAATGATTAAAATTAGAAAATATTTAGACTTATTTGTGGTTTTTAAATTTTATAGATCGACTCCACAAAAATAACGAAATTTGGCGAATTCCCCTTATCAGCAAAAACCCTCAAGGGTCTGAGGGAATCTGGATACCATAAACCTACTGAAATACAGAAAGAAACTATAGGCTTAGCTCTGCAAGGCAAAGACATTTTAGGAGCAGCACAAACTGGATCAGGGAAAACTTTAGCCTTTTTAATACCAATTTTAGAAATTTTATTCACCCAACAATGGACAAGGTTAGATGGAATAGGTGCTTTAGTGATTACACCTACAAGAGAATTGGCTTATCAAATTTTCGAAGCACTAAGAAAAATAGGGGAACATCATGATTTTTCTGCTGGATTAATTATAGGTATTTATCAACAATTACCAAATAAAGGTTTTGTAATAACCAGGCTTGGGAAAAGCCTAAGAATTAAAACAAATAAGTAGATTTTTAGGTCATATATGTCAAAAAATATGATTGAATATGAAAGATTATTTATTTTCTCAAATAAGGTAGTTCAAATTAACCAATTTACATGGCAATACTTTCTTGTTATACGTGTTTTTTAATAAAATGCTATGATTTATGTGTTCCATGATAATATAAATGATTTATTGAGTAGGTATAAGTTACAATGAGTTACAATAGTAAATAAGTTACAATAAAGTACAATAAGCTAATGGAAACCAATTATATAATAACAAGCACCTAGGTGAGAACACCTGTATGTGCTGACAAAAATTAAAATTATATTTTAATTATATTTAATGAATTATAAAGGAAATAAAAAAAACTTTTTTTTTAAATAAAAAATAAAACTTGAACAATTTATGCAAGAAACAGAAAAAAAAACTATTTAAAAAAATCCATGTATTAAGCCTGTTATTCTTGGAATATTCTGATAAACTTTGCATTATTTTGGAAAATGTATATTTTGTTAACTTTACAGAATAATTTATATTTGTTTAATAATTTTATATGAAGAGGTAGAGCGTTATAGAACTTTGTCCCTAGATAATTTACACTGTTTTTAAAAAACTCACTATTTGGTTTTGGTACTTTAATGCACATGTTCCATACAGTTCTAGTGTTATGTCCATGTTCTAAGGGGTTTTTTAAAAATTCATTTTTTGTATATAACACACTGGGTGAATATATTGATAAGGGAAATTCCCAAATAACGAAATTTAAAATTAAAATGTCAAAATTGAAGTTAGCAAAGCTGGATGATTTAGGGTCTAGAAAAATATTATTGTAAAATTATCAAGGATGTTGTTTGAATTTTGGGAATGATAGATTGTCATCAAATTTTTAAGTTGTCAGAGGGGAATTTAAAAAATGTCAGGACAGATTTTCTTTGGAAAGAGGTATAAATGTTGTTAAAATTAGAAATTGATAGAAATTGTGAAGATAGTTGTTATTGAGAAGTTAAAAATAAACAAAAAATATAAAGAAAGGCAATAGAAATTTTATTTAAACAAAATTAAATATTCAAGACAGAATTAAACAGAGAGAGTAGAATTTAACTGATTTTTAATTATTTTTTATACAAAATTAATTTTTCTAGATTTTGAACCCGCCCAGTTTTAAGATTTGGTAGTTTTAGAATATTTTTGGAAACCCATATACTGGGTGTTTCCATATCAATATAAACATCTAACATTTCTAATTTTTTCATTATATAAAGTTATGGTGGGACACAATCTACCTCTTTTATATATTAACTTCAAAATTTTGTTTTGAATAACATTTAACTGATTTAATGTAGTTCCATACATGTCTCCATATACTAAGATTCCATACCATAGTATAGATTCTACTAGACTGTAGTATAATGTTATTAGTAGATCCTGGTTGAGAAATTGTTTTAAAAGATTAAATTTATAAATCAGAAATCTAAGTTTTTTGCTATATATATTATATGGCAGTCCCGTTTTAAGTGCTGGTCTATAATTATACCTAAATATTTGGATGTTTCTGTTTCCTGTATGTCTAAATTTTGACATGTTTAGCTTCTAAATTGAGGTCGATCAGCCACTGTCTTTGAAAAAGCAATGTAGTTTGTTTTGTTAACATTCAAAGATAATTTAAAAACATCCAGCTAGTTTTTGACATGTTCCATTGCAGTTATAGCACATGTCTTGACGTCTTCCCAATATGATACAACTTTACCTTGAATATCAATCTGAGTTAAGCTCTTAATGTATAAATTAAATAGTATAGGTCCCAGAACAGTCCCTTGAGGCACTCCGATTTGTATATTTTCAGGGTTACTCACATTGTCTCTGACCTTTACCTTCTGTTGTCTGTGTGTCAAATAATTTTCAAAAATCTTCAACACGATGCCCCTCACTCCATTCTGTTCAAGAACATTTAAGAGCTTCTGATGTGGCACTGTGTCAAATGCTTTTATTAGATCTAGAAATATAGCTATACACTTGTTACCAGTATTCATTTCATTAGTAACATATGAAATCAGTTCATGCATAGCATCTCCTGAGTTAAGACCCTCAGTAAAGCCATATTGGTGCTTGGGAAGTAAGTCATTAGTTTATAAAAAAAATCAAAATTTTTCACACATTTCTCAAATATTTTGGCTACATTACTAATTAAACTAATAGGTCTATAGTTAGTTATTAATTTTGGATTACCAGCTTTATAAATAGGTGTCATAATTGAAGTTTTAAATTGTTTAGGTACGATTCCTGTATTAAAAATACAATTAATTATATGCATTAAAAGGTTCCAGTAAATACGGATGTAGTAGTTTCAGATGTTTTACTGTTATACAATCAAATCCCGGGGCACTACTGTTTTTTAAACTATTTATGTGTTTTATATCGTTTTCCCATATTGGTTTCAGAAATATTGATTATTCAGTGACACAGGAAAATTCACATTACATTCAGGGATATTTGTGAACATATTAGTGCCAATAGTCGAAAAGTAGTTAGCAGTAATTCGCCAATTCATTATCATTTTCAAATTCCTCATTATGTTGGTTAACAATCTGTAAATTGGTATTATTTTTTTGATGATTTTCATTAGTTGCTTCAGAGATTAATTGATAAGTTTTTATTTTATTGTTATAATAGTCATTTTTAGTTTTTGATATTAGGGGAGAGGGTGGAGGGTTTAACCACTTTTCGGTCTTTTGTGTATAACTTTTTATTTAAACACATTTTATTAGGTCTTTGTGTGTTAAACCATACAGCGTTCCTTAATATACATATATTTTCTATTAAACCAGGGTTAACTTTTATAAAAAAATTTAAAATAATTACCTAAACAAACCCACTACATTTGTTCAAATCCTCCCTTGGCTGGTGTGCCTTTGAACAGAAAAGGGGAGGGTTTGAACACGTCCAGAATGAGCTCTAAAATAAAAAAAAATATGCAGGAAAGGCCAAATATATTTTATTACTAAAGGTAACATTTAGGTACATATTTTATCTTTCAAATTTATCAAAACACACATTAAATCTGAATATTTTTGTAGCTCACAATGTGCCACCAGTGATTGAGGGTTGAGGTAACTTTAAAATAATGTCTGACAAAGAAATAAGAGACACGTCGTCTATTTCAGGAAAACAAAAGATATTGTCTCCTGTTTTTCTAAGAAATTTAATATTCAAATCATTTTCTAATCTCTCTTCTACCTGAGCCACATAGTGAACTATACTTTTTTTGTATTAAACTTCACTAGAACAAAATCGTTTACTATAATACAGCTGTACTCAACCTTTTTTCATTTCGGGCCACATAAATCTGTTTGTTATGCTACACGGGCCACAATATTCTAAAAAAAATAGGTAAAAAAGGTAAAAAAAGGTAAAAAAGGTAAAAAAAGGTAAAAAAGGTATAAAAAGGTAAGAAAGGTAAAAAAATGGTCCTCATGTTGTTTTAGTTGTGTTAATGCTTTGAAAAGACACAAGGACAGGACTATAGGTCAACCATTTCAATTACTAATAATCGTTTAGGGTCACACAAAAAAGCTTGGAGGGCCGCAAAGAAAGCTTCGAGGGCCGCACAGAACAGCTTGGAGGGCCACATGCGGCCCGCGGGCCGCAGGTTGAGTATGGCTGCTATGATAGTTTCTAAGCTTGCCGTATTTAATTTTTCGGAAGCTTCCAAATTATCTGGGTCATCATTATCAGTGCTGCTATCATGGACAGACATATCCTCTTCTGCACTACTACTGTCGCTTATCATTTTCCTTAATTTTCTTTTCTAATAAAGAAATTACTTCATTCTCTAAGCTACTGCCTTTTTTCTGTGGTTTTTTCTTTAAAACGATCTCATTTTTTTTGTTTTTTCGGTAATTGTTTCATAATTTTTTTTTACAATTCGAATAGTCTCCTCCATATTTGTGAATACCTGATTCGTGTTATACTTAAAAGTATAATCTTTTTCTTTGTCTTTGTTATTTATTCTGTAATATAAGGCTGTGTGTTTTACATTGTTTTGTTCAGCAGCAACTCGCAAAGAAATCTTTCTATCGACCACATCAGTTATTGCTTTCTGCATGTCCGCTTCATTGAATTCGACTCTCTTGCCCTTTTTCTTGTATACTCGGGGCATATTGATATTTTACCACTGAAATAAATAAATATATTTAGGTATTAATTTAAAATATTATTTCCTATTGGGTATGTTTTAAACAGTCTGGGTAGGCTTTGAACATCCTTCAAGGGCTTGTAGTTCAAAGCCTTTCAATGGCACTTTATTCTCAGAAAAAATTGAATTACATTTCATGCTTTTGAATATTTAAATATAACTGTTTTGTAAACTTACCTCAAAAATATAGGGATACGCTCAAACAATAGAACAATTAAATACCATTGACAGATTTAAAAATATATATGTTGTAAGGATGATCAAAATAAACAAGGAATTTAACGAAAATATATTCACCTAACAATGACCAAACATCATCTGGTAAATCCCCGCGTACCTAATGACAGGCGAAGAGAACACTGTTGCCAGTGCATTCCTATGTTCACAGACGACAAGAAAATATTTTAGTAGAAAATATTGTAATTGTTCAAAATCTCCTCGTGTTCAAACCATCCACCCTCTTCCCTAGTTTGTTTAAATTATTTCTAAATGTTTTATATTGAATTTGTTTGTTAATAGTATAGTTTTTTATAGATCTTTTTTAAGTTTATCCCTAGTTTTAATAGAATTAATTAAACCATTTGTTATCCATGGTTTTATTTTTTTATGGATTTTAATTTTATTATTTCGAGTGGTTTGGCATGTTTCAATGATATTAAGATACGCGTCATAAATAAGTTGTGTTGCAATTTCTGGATTATTTTCATTGCAAACACTTTCCCAGTTTACAGTGTCGAATTTTTGTTTTAATTTATCAGTATCGATTTTAGTTATAGTTTTGTATGTATTGTAGGAACTTGTGTAGTTTTTGGCAGATTGTGAGATATTTTTAATAATAGGATCATGAGCAGTCATATCATAGCTGATTACATAAGAGTTCACCGATAGATTTTCAGTCTTAATACTGTTTTTTAAGAATATATGATCCAAGCATGTTTTACTTTATGGCCTCGTAATAGTGTTTATGTAAGACATGAAACCATGGGAGTAAAAAGTTGCTTGGTAATCAGTATTTACTTGATTGGTTACATTTAGGAGATCAATATTAATGTCCCCTATGAATATTTCAATATTTCTATTTAGGTGATTTGGTATGAAATTTTCTAAATCCCTTATAAATGCTTGTGCAGAGTTTTGAGAAGACCTGTATACACCTGTAATGCCAATGGTCCGATGATTGACTTTTAGATTAATTTTAGTGACACAAATATCAGAATATTCCAGTTTAACTATATTTAATTCTGCATTTAGATTTGACCTGACCAAAATTACAACACCATCATTTCTGTTAATGTTACCATTGTTATAGTGGGTGGTGAAGCCATCTAGGTTAAATTAAGAAATAGATTCTAATTGGAAACATTCAGTCAAAACTATTATATCAAAATAATTAATTTTATAACTTTCTAGAAATACTAACAACTCATCAAAATTCTTTTTAATACTCCTAATATTGAAATGTAAGACATTTGGGAGTTTTTCATTTAAATTAATTTTATTTGTTATATTAGCAGCATCAAGATTATTTTCTTGATTAATAATCATGAACTCTCATCGGGTCGATGGTGTAGTGGTCTAACGCGCTTATATTCATTTATAGGCAAGTTTATGAGTCCGAGACTGCTGGGCTTCGAATCCCAGACCAGACCATGTGGATTTTTAATAAAATTGCATGGTTCGGTTTAGGATTTGATGCGTGCCGTATTAATAGAAATTCAATTTCTATTGATATGACATGCAGATTATAAAATCGCCATACATTTCGATGATGGTGGGTGAGGTTTTCCGGGTTTTCCTCACCTGTAAGTCAAATGGCACCATCAATCATCCTTAAGTCGCCCCGGAGCGCCACGGCAAATAATAATAATAATAATAGCCGTCCCTTCCCCTACACAAGTCATTCAGTCGACTTCAGGGGTTGAAATTCACTCGTAAGGGGGTGAATTAGGGAGAGTATTATTATTATTAACTATTTGAATGTGTGTACAAATATTAGTTACGTTATGTTATTGATCTGTATACTCGGTTTTATTTTGCAATACCATTTGATGATATTTCAAAAAGGGTCAAGTCAAAACCAGTGCAGAATGGTTGTAGTCGTAATTATTTAAATGAAAACCTCATAAACAAATATTTACAAAACAAATTTAACCAGCTATAATTCAAATAAATTGAAAACCACTTTTATGTCCTGGGGGTTAAGCAACAAAATATCTAACTCTCGGCCACAATAAAGGACTATATAGCCTTGACTTTGTAGCCCTTAAATGGTTAGGGAGTTTACTCAAGAATTAAAATAAGTTTCAATGTTTTCATGGCTAAAATAGATCATGGTATCATCCAGAAATAAGTATATCGAGCATCTTTCGACTATATATCAATTAAAAATAGTAGTGCACCTAGGATACTACCCTGTGGCACTCCCATATTATACATTTTTGGATGAATTAACTTCAAAATTATTGTATTTAAATGATTTATCACTCTAACACTACGGTTTTTTAATTTATTCTTGTCCATATTAAAATAATTAAAGACCTTGCTGCAAGAAGGGGGCAGTTCCATTTTTGTTAACTTTTGGGAAACAAAATAAATTTTTTAAAAATGACCGCGATTCCAAATACATTTTTTTTAGGTGGTAAAGATCTTAAATTCGAAAGAAATAGAATGGACCAGTGTAATATCGTAATTTGCACACCGGGTCGTCTTTTACAACACATGGACGAAAATCCCCTTTTCAACTGCATCAATATGAAAGTATTAGTACTAGACGAAGCCGACAGATGTTTAGATATGGGTTTCGAACAAACCATGAACGCCATCATAGCGAATTTACCACCACAACGACAGACGTTGTTATTTTCGGCCACGCAAACCAAATCCGTAAAAGATTTAGCTAGGTTGAGCTTAAAAGATCCTTGTTATGTTAGCGTACACGAAAATTCGGAATTCAGTACACCGAAAGGACTGTCACAGAGTTACGTCGTTTGCGAATTGCAGGATAAGGTTTCAGTGCTGTGGAGTTTTTTGAAAAACCATCCTAATAAAAAGATTATGGTGTTTTTCTCCAGCTGTAAGCAAGTTAAATATACTTTCGAAATTTTTTCAAAGTAAGTAACTGTTTTTTATAATTATAATTTTTTATTGACACTAAATCGTTGAAATGTTAAACAAAAACCTCAACGAGTCCAAATTGTAATCGTTTACACCTCAAATCTATTTATAATCTTAGGTTCTACTATTGAGTTATCACAAGGGGGTGGTTTGCCACGGCTTATTGTAATATGCGTAAATTTTGAACTATTCTGGGGGAAATTTTGTCTTTAGATTCTTTTGTTAATGTTGCTAGGATATTTTCAATGTTATTATAATAAAAGAAAACTGTTTAAAACTATGAAATATTTAATTAAACAATAATACTGAAATAAATTTAACAGAACAAAAATGATCCAATTAAATATGTATATAAAAAAACGATAATAAAATGAATTACTTTAAGTAATAAAAAAAAAATATATAGGCGCCATTTTTCGTACAATTGCTGTCAAATTTTGAAGGTGTAATTTTTATAATTTCGTAAAAGGAATTGGGGATTTTTTATTTTCATATTTCCAAAATTTCCTTTCAGTTTTGGATCTTGACATATTTTTCTCATTCCACTTTTCAATCATCATAAATTCAATTAAAAGTAAATTTATATTATTATTATTAAACTATCATAGATTGCGGCCTGGCACAAGTCTCATGGCTCTATACGGAACGTTACATCAGCTACGCAGAATGGACATCTACGAAAATTTCTGCCGCAAAAAATCCGCCATATTGTTCGCGACGGATTTAGCCGCCAGAGGATTGGACTTCCCTGAAGTCCATTGGGTGGTCCAAGTGGATTGTCCAGAAGATCCGGAAACATACATACATCGCGTAGGTAGAACAGCTCGTTTCCACAGGGGAGGCGAAAGCTTATTGATGCTGCTACCCAGCGAAGTGACAATGGTCGATAAGCTTAAGGCGAAGAAGATACCAATTGAGAAGATAGAGTTAGTATCAAATTTTCGCGATCAACTCTTAGACTATATTAAATTATTTTCAGTGTCAATCCTATGAGATTAAACAACCCGGTAAGGAAGATGGAGGCGTTTTTGGCTAAAGATCCTTCGTTAAAAGATACAGCTCAAAGAGCGTTCGTCTCTTACGTCAAAGCTGTGTTTTTAATGAAAGACAAAGAGGTATTCGACGCGCAATCATTAGATACCACTTCGTATGCGAAATCTTTAGGATTGGCGATACCGCCTAGAATTAGATTTTTACAAAGGATGAACGCTAGACTAGAAAAACAAAAAAACGAATTTAATACCGTAAAATCGAATAATATCGTTAAAACTGGTAATCAGAATAGTAAAAAGTATTTTGATAATGATGATGACGATGTTAATGATGGCAAAGAAACGACTAAAGTTGGTGTAGATGATGTTAAAAATGAATCTGAAGACAGTGGAGTCAGTGAAGATGAAAATTTACATGGTGCTAAAGATTCTGGACTCTTCCAGGTGTCTGATGAGGATAGCGACAATGATGATATATTACAGGTAATTAAAATGCAACTAATGGTGTTTAGGTTTCATATTTTCATTGTTCAATTCCGTTGCAAGCTCTCGCGAGCTTTCAGTCTTCTTTCTTCTTCATTTATTGAAACCAGTCTTGACTGATGCCATTCTCAACGGGATACCTATTAAATTAACACCCAAGTTCCAACTTTCATGAGCTACCCACCTTCTATTTTACAGAAAATATTTGAAACTTAAAGTTTACTGTCTTCTAACTTTCGACATCCCCACAACGTCTGTAGGTGTCCAATTTTTGCCCTTAAGACGTCTTAATACTTTAATATGGTCGCGGGTTATGCACGAAGCGTCGAAAAAGAATATTCCTGGTTGTGGGACTTACTTTTAAGTCTCTACAACAGTTTTGCTCATAAAAATAAACATTTTCTCCTACAGGTGAAGAGAAGAGACCACGACATCGAACTACCCACAGCCAAAGAGATCGCCGACATGGACCTGGGTAGAAACAAAAACAAGAAACCGATCAGCAAAGCAGCAGCGGCCAAAAAGATTCTAAAAAAGAAGATAGTCCCCAACAAAAAAACCGTATTCGACGACCAAGGCGACGCCGTCCTGACGACCAAAGATAAAAAATCCGAACTAGCCGTGGAATACGAAAACGAAGACGAGGGCGGCATCGACATCGAACGAGCCAAAAAAGTGCTCCGAGAAGAAGACAAATTCGATAAACAGTTGTTCAAGGAAAAGGTGAAAGCCAAACACAAAGAAGAGAAGAGGAAATTGAAGGAAAAGAAGAAGCAGGAGAAGGAGGATGAAGAGGAGGTTCGCGACGATTTCGGGGAAAGCGAATCTGATGTTGAACCGGATTTATCTTGGTTGCCGGATCCGGACGCGATATATGGCGAAAAAACGGAAGAGGAAATCGAAAGGTTGAAGGATGAGTTTGAAAACGGAACTGATGATGAAAGGACGGCGAAATCTTTCAAAACTAAAGAGAAAAAGTAAGTATTTTGAAGGTTATTCATAAGGAACAACCACAAAGTCTTGATTGCAATATATTAGGGAGTTTTAGCAAACAGCCGCTAACGTTACCTTAGGGATAGACTGTAATCTACTCCGTTCAATGTTTATGAAAAAGGTCACAATCTAAGTTTAACGTAACGTTAGCGGAAATCTTACGTACATTTGCTAAAACTCTCTATTATATTGTGGTTAAGAGTTGGAGTTTCATTTCCCACTAATCACAAAGTCTTAACCACACTGTATGATATTTTAGTTAAGACTTTTTTCCTTTAATAACAAAATCTTAAGCACGAAGTCTTAACTACAATATACTATATTGTGGTTAGGATTTTGAGTTTCTTTTTTCTTTAACAACAAAATCTTAACTACAATGTATTATATTATGGTTAAGACTTTAGAGTTTTCTTTTCCTTTAATCACAAAATCTTAACTACAATATATTATATTGTGGTTAAGACTTTGAGTTTTCTTTTGTGTTTATAAGAAAATGAAACTCAAAGTCTTAACCACAATATAATTAAAACTTTATGGTTAAACGTTAAAGGAAACTCAAAGTTATGACTTTGTGATTAAAGTCTTAGCTGCAATATATCATATTATGGTTAAGACTTTGAGTATCCTTTTCCTTTAATCACAAAGTCTTAACTACAATATATTATAGTGTGGTTAATACGTTGTTTACTTTTCCTTTAAAGTTTAACAATAAAGTCTTAACCACAATATATTATATTGTGATTGACTTAAAATTTCCTTTTATTTTAACCACACTATATTATAATGTGGTTAAGACTTAGCTTTATTCCAACAGCAGTATAGAATCGATCTGAATTTATATGCGCATGTACAGAATGCTGATATCTGTCATTGCAGCAAAATTCGTCCATTCATTTATCTTCGTTTTGCCACTTTCCTTATTTATTCTGGCAAAGATCTCATTGGTATTTAACAATTATGTGGGTAATATAACGCCGGAGGCGATTAGCGTCCATATTTGATAGCCGACCTTTAGGGAGGAGCAATGTTGGGCTTACTAGGTTCAGGGGCTTTAAGGACGACAATTTTAGGCAATACCAGGGTATTTATTGACATTATCTAATTGTGAAGCCCCACGTTGGGCGCCAAAAATGTTACACCCCAATTGTTAATTCTGATTAAGATAAATAATCTTCTGTTAGCAAAATTGGTTTAATAGTGGTTTGTTTTTGAGTCTTGTTCTTTATTTTCGCAAGTCCCTCATTTCCATTGTACATAATTTTCTCCTTGTATTTTATTTAACTTATATACCTCAGTTTTCCTGCTAATGATGTTTATACTGTCATTTCGTCATCTAGTTTTTTCCAGCACGTGTTATTATACCTAGTTAGATACCTAAATTTTTCTACTTGTCTTAAGTCATTATTGTTTATAGACTGGGAGCTGAACGCAAAAAAGACGAAGGTTGAATTGATGGCTAAACTCTAGACCAAACATGGTTTTACATGTCAAAATAATAACAAACTTCGATGCTACATTTTTAGAGAGTGCAAACAAAGGCAATACTAGTTATTGTTACAGACGCGTTTTGCGAAAGGTGTTTCAATTTTAACGCAACTAATGTCAAATCAATGACGATAGCCTCTTCTTTAACTGTAACTAGAGTTGCCCTTGTTTACACTCATTCCAAAAATATAGCACCGAATTTTGTGGTTATTGTGACGTTTGTGTAAAAACCAGATCAAACCATGGTTGATCTGGTGATTAGCAATTATTAACTAATAATTTTTTTACAATAAGCTTAAAATAATCCGCCTATTTTATATTTTACGATCGATTCTTGGACTATTACGTTTATCTCCTGTTTTTCCATTGGTATTTTTATACTAAAAATAATTCTTCTTTCAAAGCTTTTTCATTCTTTACACATTTCTGCATTTTAAGGTATTTAATGACATTACCCACACATTTTCCTTTACTAATTGCTTGGCCCCACGTTGGGCGCCAAAAATGTCACACCCAATTGTAATTCTGATTAATCTAAATATGATTAACTAGAGGCGTGATTATTTGTATGGCGAGCTAGATTTTGCACTGGAGATAGGCGTGAGTCGGTTTAAATGAAAGTTAATAATATGAGGATCACAAAATTGATTACAATTTATTGTTTGTAGTAAATTATTAGTAGACCAAAAATCTGTTAGTCTACATGAAACGCTAGGATTTGCGTGTAATTATTTTGTTTTGTTTCAAGGGGTCAAAAGAGGAAAAAGGAAAACAAAATAGATAACCTGGGGACGGTACTCAAAAAGAAGAAGAAACATAAATTAAAAGAAATCAGTTCTTCCCTTTCAGTCAACGAAGCCGAAGAACTTGCAATGTTATTACTAAAAAATAAATAAAACTTTTTAATATTTTGTAAATAAAATTTATTTCAAATTCAACAACCAAATTTTTTAATTCTTAACACTTAAAAATAGTTTTATAAAACGGGTTTTGTGTTTATTATGATTTATAAGTCATGGTAAGTGTCTTTAACTACTTTTTTCTTGTTGCTTTTCGACTTTGCAAGTACAATCTACCCAGTCTTTAGGATTCCTTAATACTTCTAATAGTTTACCTTCGGGCGTATCATCTTCAGGCACGTTCATATATTCCCATCTCTGAAAACAATGTTAATGAATTACTATGTGGATCTCGTAAACAAATTTGGTTAGTTCTCACAATACAACTGCACTGTCTTTGATATTATGACTTGTAATACTCTCCATAAACTTACACATACAATAAACAAGTTGATACGCTTTTGTTATACAGATTTTGTAACGAAAATGGCCGCGAAAGTTTTCCGACTCTAGAGAGATTTCCTTATTAGTCAAGCCCTAAATCACCAAAAATTTGCAAATATTGAATGCGTTCAAAATTAATAAATGGTCTGGAATTTTTTTATTGGACCTGTAATAGTACCAAATCGTTTAAATGAGGAAAATTATTTAAATTTTTTACAACAAACGTTATCTAACCCTAATTGAAGATGTGCTACTATTAATTCGTCATGTTTTACAAAAAATGTACCATTTAATAATTGCTCCTATACGATTGCCAGCAAAATCTCCGGACTTGACATCTTGTGACTTTTTTGTGAGGGGTGCTTTAAAATTTCCAGATTTATAGCTGGAAATAATGTTTTGAGAAACAATGCAAAGGTTGTATTTTAATTTTTAATGAAAATAAACTTGTGTATTCATTTTGAACATTTGTTATGATTTGTTGTGGTGCAATTAAAAATAGATTTAAGAACCTACTGGCTAACTCAGTCGGAAGAGCATCAGATTGTTAATCTTAGGATCGCGGATTTAGCCCCACGTTGGGCGCCAAAATTGTGGTGATAAACGTTGTATAAGAAATTATATATTGGACGCCACCATATTTGAAGCACTCACAATAAAATATTATTGACAAAAAACATATTATTACTAATTTGAGACAGTAGAACCCTGTCATTTCCCATTCCAGCCACCTATTCACCTTACACACATCCTTTTTATTAAATTTAAAAGTATTACTTACAGCGTTTAGTGGTAAAGACATCAAAATACTTTCATATCTAGCACCGGGCGTGTACAATCCAAACTTCGTGCCTCTATCGTAAATCAAATTGAATTCAACGTATCTACCTCTTCTTAATAATTGCCATTCTCTTTCTACGTTCGAGTACGGGGCAATTTTGTGTCTTTGAACTGAAAATAAATTGATACAACTTTTAACTTTGGACCGTGTAGAAATTTGAATAGATTAATAATCAGATTTTTATAAAATGTGAAAACCAAGGGGTTAACTGCAGTTCAAAATATGAAGTTAAAAAATTGTTTTTAAATCGACCATAGAAACTTTTAATGGCGATTTTAAATTTTCTGAAATGACTTTAAACAGTTATTCAGACTTTAGCTTGCTTATTATAGTTCGAACTAACTAATATGGCTTTAATGTGTGGTACTGCTGGAAAAAATGCTCGTCAAGCATATAATCTTGTAAGTTTATAGCAGCCGAACCGATACATATAACTGAATAGTTAAAGCCGGGATCCAACGGCGCGTGGAGCGGCACTCCACGCGCCAAATTTGTCAGTTCCCGCTCCGTTGGATAGGGCAAGCTTGCCAATCTTCGGTCGGCGCGATGAGTCCCGTCGTCTGTCGGTAAATCAACACGGTTCAAAGGGGCGCGGACGTTGGCGCGCAACACGTACGTACAGCTCCAACGGCGCGGCTAGGAGCGTGGTACTGCCAGTGCCGTGGTAACTTTCACCATGGAGTGGTCTAACGAAGTGGTATTAGAATTTTTATTATTCTATGAAGCCGAGCCGATTATTTTTTGTCCTCTTGCTATGCTATAAACTCCTAACATAAAATAAAAGGCTGAGGCAGCAACGATACGCGTCCGCTCACGGTTTATCTTTTCGTGCAATTAAACCAAATTATGAAATTTTTATCGCCAACACTGCCGTCGTAAAACAGTCTGCGCGATCCTCATGCGCCATGGAAACGGTCCGACTCTTGAGACTCAACTCACAACCTAGGATTGCCCTCCGCGCGCCGAGGAGTGCCACTCCACGCGCCGTTGGATCCCGGCTTAAAGGAGATAAATAAACAATATGGCATCGCAAATGAAACAGAATCATGACTTAAGTAATGTCTAGATGATGTATGTCTTTACAAAGACGACCAGTAGAATGTTTTAAAAATAATCGACGCCATTTCTATAGTCTGGGAGATAAATGAAACGTTATAAGAAACAGTGACGCACTGGATTACTTTATCGAAGAATCACAAACATTTTTAATTATAAATTCCTAGATTGTATCGTCTATCCTAACACATGGCCCAATATTTGCATGTACATACCTAAAGGAATGTATGACGGTATGACAGCATTAGCACAATCCGTAACAAACTCGAAACATTTATCTTGACTAGGCGAATCCAAATCATCGAAAAAAATCCCTCCTACCCCCCGCCTTTCCCCTCTATGCGGTATATGGAAATAATCGTCGCACCATTTCTTAAACCTCGGGTAATAAGTTGGGTCGTGCTTATCGCAGGCGTCTTTAAGCGTTTGATGGAAATGGATGGCGTCGGCGCTGTTTAGATAGTACGGAGTCAAATCGGTACCGCCGCCGAACCACCATTGGACTTCGTCGCCGCTTTTGACTTCGAAGTACCTGTAATTGAAGTGAATCGTCGGTACCATCGGGTTGACGGGGTGGATTACAGCGCTTATACCGGCAGCGAAGAATGGTAGTTCGCCGCTTTCTAGTTTTTTACCTGTGGAATTAAAGAAAGTTTGGAGTATGTCAGATTAATAAGTAAACATTGATAATCAGGGGTCAATAACCTTTAGCAACTGAATTTTTAATATTATTACACAATTTTGATTGTAAGCATACATCTCTGCTATGATTTGAATTTCGCGCTAATGTCACTCGTTAATGTCAGTTGTCAATTGTCGGAAGTGACTTATGATTATACAGTTTGTCTCCAAATTATTCAAAACAATATCTTACCCCTAGAACGCATTTGAGCAACGGCACCTGGCGGCAACTGACCAGCAACAACGGAAATATTCACTCCCGCCTTTTCGAATACTTTTCCATCTTGCAACACGCATGTAATACCTCCACCCCCTTCTTTCCTTTCCCAACGGTCGACGATGAATTTATTGCAGTCTTCTTCGATTTCGAGGGCTTTGCAAAAGTCTTTCTGTACTTTCATTATCATCAGTTCCATTTTGGTTTTCATGTCGTCTGGGTTTGAAGAGAGCTTGTCTAGAGGTGTAATTGGTAAGGCCATGAATTCGTTAGTGTCTATGGAGGATTTGGAGAAGAATGCCAAGGCGCCCGTGAATAGTGGACCATATCTCCTACAATAATAATAATAATAATGAATGTTTTGCGCTCTAAGATAGTGCCTACTTAGAAAGGCACAATCGGATACCAAAAGTAATATATTCTCAATTAACGCAGGAACTAAACCTAGTTAAAAATCCTTTTTACTATCCCTATTTTAGAATCAAGGGAGATAAGATATCTAAAAGGCATTTGAGAATGTTGATCAAAACCAAAAACGTTAACAGAGATGAGTTGATATAAAGAATTCAAAAAAGATTCATGGTGGAATATAGAATAGATACCACTGTAACGTTTGTGGGTAACAACTGGATTTACATTTTGATGTTTGACATGAAACTATTCAACTTTGAATCTCCCAAATCAGTATCAAATAAATTCAAAGCTAAAAATGCGAAAACAAAATTCGCCTCGCAATAAACTACACGTCAGTATCCCGTTCAATGATGAAGAACATTATTTTAATATACAGCCATTCACAAGCTTAAACCGACGAATATATCTTTAGAATGACAGGAAGATTCAAATATGTGATGATAATCGGAGACTTCAACTCCCGCTGTCCACGTAAATCAAATTTTTTATCTGTAACACAAAGTTTGAAAAACAAGTCTTCACTCTGGTATCAACTACAAACTGCTGGTTTCAACGGTCTCCTATTTAAATTAAAACTTATTGTGCCTGATGGTGTTATATGTCTTATTAAAAACTTCCTTCAAAACAGATCTCCAGTGTTAAAATAAATAGCAACACCTCTCCAAGATTCATTGTAAATCAAGGGTCGCATCCCAAGGGTCGCCATTTTTCTGCTCTTATACAATATATATTACTTTGATTATCCCTAGAAATTACATCCTCCAATATTTTGATAGCACGGCTCTGATATCTCATGGAAATACATTGAATCAAACCATTAGCAATACATAATCAATACAATTAAGTTGTTTAATGGCTCAATAAAAAGAGATTACAAGTTAACCCACAAAAAAGTCAATTAATGTTACCCTATCATGAGCTTAATAAACCGTGTCCGCCCTGTCCTTTCCCCCTTTTCTTTCAGCTTCTGAAAAAATTATTATTTAGCAGAAACGACGATTACCCCCTCACTTCAGGTAGTTAATTAGAAATCATTGTGACCTCTGGAATTTTGTTATCTCCATCTGTAGTTGCCCGAGTTCCTTTGAAGCTATCTCGAGAGTTGGTGGAGTAAACCACTTCAAATAATCTGGCGCCCGAGTAACTGTCCGAGAATAGCGCTATTCGTAAAAGTAGTTTCTCAAGAGGTAGTTATTAATTTACATTTACTGATAATTTATTTATTTATTTATTTATTTATACATTGTTCAACAGGTTAAACCCAATTACAGAACAGGAGTACATTTGAAAGAAAACAGTTTAACAAAAAGCATATAGATAATTAATCTAAAATTACAGTAAATAAATTCAAAATTATTTTAAACAATGTGTTTTTATGTTTTTAACACTGCAATTAAATATATCCAACTGTTCACTAATATTATTATAATTATTACACATATTATATACGGGTGAAAACTTCAGAACGTTTGTCCGAGGAGTCGCTATGTAAAATGATTCAGTGTTTCGAGAGGTTGCGCGTGGGATTCTAAAATTAAGCATATGTAAAAGAGCTTCACAATTGATTTTAAAATTAACAACTTTGTAGAGGGTAATTATGGAGAAGTACTTTCGTCTTACGTCGAGACTTGTCAATCTGTGTCTAGTCAGTAAAGCATTTTGAGTAATACCAATCGGTGGATAAATTTGGTCTGCCCGAAAACTTAAGTATTTGAGGAAACGCCTTTGTGTGAACTCTATCCGACAAATGTGTATTTGATAATAAGGATCCCAAATAAACGAGGCATATTCGAGTTTAGATCGAACAAATGAGAAATACAATGATTTAATAGTATCTGTGTTTTTAAAATCACGGCCCACTCGTACTATGAATCCATACATACGATTTGCAGCTGTTGAGATGTTATCTATGTGGTATTTAAACGACAATACTGGGTCAAATGTAACCCCTAAATCCATAAAATTGTTGGGTTTAGAAAGCAAACGTCCATCAAGGACATAATCGAATATAATTGGATGCGCTTTTAATGTGTATGACATTACGTTACATTTGACGGGATTCAGTGTAAGACCATTTTTGTTGCACCATTCAACAACTTTGTGCAAATTTTCCGACAACTGTTCACAGTCAGAAATATTTTCAATAGCTGAATATATTTTTAAGTCATCAGCATACAGCAAATAATCAACATTTATAGCGTCACCAATGTCGTTGATAAAAATATTAAATAACAGCGGACCCAAATTTGAACCTTGCGGTATACCAGAGGTGGCGCAATATTTGTTAGACTTGAATCCATTTAATTGAACATATTGTGTTCTTTGAGAGAGATACGATTGAAAAAGTGTGATCAAACTATTAGAAAGACCAAATGCGCAGAGTTTCTGTATCATAATATTATGATCAAGTCTATCAAATGCTTTTGTCATATCCGTATAGATGACGTCAGTTTGGACCCGATTATCAATATTTTCAGCTATTTGCTGTGTGATCACAGAAAGATTTGTTACTGTGGAACGCCCTTTAACAAAACCATGTTGCTGAGCTGAGATTGCGTTACAAACATGTTGATAAATACTACGTTCCAGTAATATTTCTAGAATTTTGCAGAAATTGCAAATGATAGAAATCGGCCTATAATTTTTGATATCAGTACGTTCACCTTTTTTAAAAATTGGGCAGACTTTAGAACATTTCCACATCGAAGGAATTGTATTGGATTTAAGGCAGATATTTATCAAAATAGTTAGAGGGCGAGCTAATACTGCTGAACAATCTTTTAAAATGAACGCAGGAATATGATCCGGTCCTGTGGTACGTTTAGGTTTAATGTTTTTTAAAGCATCCTGGACCTGGGTTTCAGAAAAATGAGTTATATGAAGCTGAGATGGCTGGACGTCCTTTAATGATATGTTTGAACCCTTGGAAGCGACATAAGATTGTCCAAAATATTCCGCAAAGCTTTCTACTATTTCTGTTGGATTATTTAATGTTTTATTTTCAAAACTCATGGTGCTTGCAACTTTACCTTGGCATTGTTTATTATTAACGTATGCCCAAAATTTATTTGAATTTGCTGAGATTTCAGATTCAAGATTTGCTATGTAATTTTTATAAGCTTCAGGTACACAAGTTTTAATTTCAGCTCTGATGAGCTTAAATTCTTGAAGAGCTTGTATATTATTCTCATTCTGATATAAGCGATGAAGTTTAGACTTTTTCCGAAGTTTCTTAATAATAGAACCATTAAACCACGGAGGATATTTTCTTTTATTACTTACAGTATATTTAGGTATACACTGATCTAGTATATTGTATAATTTACCATAAAAGTACGTGCAGGCATCTTCAGCATCATAGAAAACCTCCAAAAAATCCCAATTCACAGTAGATAACATTTCATACAAGAGTGGAAAATTTGCTTTACGAAAATTGTAGCAATTCGTGTAAGAGGATTCAAGATTTTTCTTATATTGCTTTTTTTCGTTTATTCTACAAGTAATTTCTAAAGCCGGATGATATTTATCTTCTTCTACCAAAGGTTCTAAAGATTTTTCAACCAAACAGAAATGTTTATAATACATCAAGTCTAAGAGCTTATTGTAATCATTGAATACAAAGTTATGTTGAGTCAAATCTAGAACGTCGGCAAAATTATTTAAGCTATTTAATTTAAGATTAGTTTGAATGTTAGATACATAATCAGGTATGTTAAAATCACCTATCATTATAAATTTACAATCATGTAAAAAATCTAATGTCTCCAGAGAATCAAACAATTGTTCGTATTCATAAATAAATGAATAAATATGCACAAAATAAGCGGCTAATTTAACTGCAACTATATCACAAATTTAAGTGATGCAGCACTTTTTATCAAGAATATTTTTTTTTATTAATATTTTCTCATGTGTATGAAACTTTTTGAAACACACTGTGTAATGGATTGCGACGTGCTCGAAGAGCACGTCACAACTTATTAAAATGTGTTCAAGAATTAAAAAAAAAATTAAAAGACAGAACAATTATTCTTGTCAAAAAGTTCTGCATCATTTATATAAAGCATCAACTTTTATTAAGAATGCATTTTTATAAAAAAAATCGTTTTAAAAATGAGTCTCCCTGTATATATAATTTATATTTGTTTAATAAATTGTAAATAATACTTTTCTTTAAATACTTGTGTTCTATTTATAAAAATAAGGACACTTTACTCTTGAGTGCATTTATTTCCCTCGTATAAAAAATTGTAGTAATTACGTATTCGATTTTATATAAAGCATCAAGTTTTATTAAGAATTCCTTTTTTTATAAGAAATCTTTAAAAAAATGAGTCTCCCTGTATATATCTTGTTAATAATAATACAGTTTTCTTTAAATTCTTACTTTCTATTTTTAAAAATAAGTACACTTTATTCTAGACTGTATTTTGATATCCCTCGTATAAAGCATTTATTTGAAATTTCAGTAATTTAGTATTCGATGTCACCCTGTAGTATATAATTAGTATTTATTTTGTGTAAATCCATTTTCCTTTAAATTCCAGACATTTCTTAAATATGGCAACACTGCATCGGAACTTTCACTACTCTTGCTCCATCCGCCACCTATTATTTAATTCCTGAACTAACATTCCTAAACTGCATCTGTGATCATCATTTTTTTAATATTTAATAACTAGCAGGACAAATTAAATTGTCTTATTTACAATTATTATTAAACATTTTACTATAACCTGTCAAAATTTCATTACAATCCATCCAATAAAAGATAATTAAGATGTGAATAGTAAATCTATGTTTTGACCATCGCTGTCATTTGAATTTGCAGTTCATTTTTCAGCGACTGCATTTCTTGCGTAATGCAGCCCTAGCCTTATCCGGAATAATTTTACAAGCATCTATAATAATCAAGGCA